AAAAGTGATTCTTAAACTCACTCGATCATCAGAATCTTCTAATTCCTTTTGCTCTGCAACATAAACAGCTTTTTGCCTCAAAATTTGCCGTGCTATCTGCTCAATGCCATACTGTATTACTCGATTAATGTCGAATAGCGATTTCATTTTCGAAAAAGTTTATAATTACCCATAAGATAATCTACAGTCAAGCTTCCCTAAGTGCGCATTCACTAATTTTGCCCCAGGTTTCCCAATCAGAAGTGTAAAGTGAAAATTAAAAGCAATCACTTGTTTTTCTGAAAAATCACATTAATCTCAAAATTACGCCAAGAAAAAAAATTACTTGCAAAATTTTAATATAATATCACCCCTAACTCTATCACTAACCCAAGACATCACATTTTGAAAAGAAGGTGACACGTAAACAATTCTAGCCAATCAGAAACCTGGGTGAAAATTAGTAAAACCCTAAGCGTAACTCATAGATAGGGATGTGAAAAGTTCGGTCCAGTCCAACTCGACTCCAGAAGTCGAGTCTAATTTGTACTCGGTCCCAAGCAGGCAGACTTGGAACAAAAACTCATTCTGTCATGTGAAATACGTAGCACCATAAAAAACTGGTTTCACACAACAGGATGAGTTTTTGTCTCAAGTCTGCTTGGAACCGAGTAGGGATAGGAATCGATTTAGTCGACTAAAAAATTTATATGTAAATTACTACGTTTAGTCGATTTAGTCGACTAAATCATATAGCCGATTCCTATCCCTAGAACCGAGTACAAATTATGACTCGACTTCTGGAGTCGAGTTGGACCGGACCGAACTTTTCACATCCCTACTCGTAGAGACCAGACTTTTGAGAGCTGCATTTAGAGAACAATAATGTTTAGTATATATTTGGGCCAGAGTTAAAGTGATTTATGGGGGGGTTGTACAATGATTTGCTAATTTAAGCTGATCAGCAATTAGAAAAAAAAAAAAAAACTTTATTGCATGTAATAAAGATGGCTCATATCGAGAAGCCCAAAGAGGTAACGAGTGACGTAAATACTGAAAAAGAAGATACAGAGGCGCTTAAAGCATTTAAGGCTTTGGCAAAAATACCTACATATCTCTCTGCAAGTTTCTTGCCTGTTTCGAGCTCCTCTTTGCTTTGTAAATTATATTTTTATTTTGTTGCATTTTTTTTAGATAGAATATATTAAATATTAAAGCGATGCTTCATAATTTTTGAAGTAATTCACCTCACTCTTAGTCAACGTGACTTGATCCGCAAACTTAAACGATTAATTGCAAAACAATTGATCGTATCTCTGCAGAAAGATGATAGTGGTAAATCTACAGGTGTATTCTCCTCATTTTTACCAATTGATTTGGGAGATGTTGCTCTACAAGCTATTTCCCCGTCCGGAGATCAACTTGTGGTCTTAAGAGCTGTATCAAATGACAAAGGAAAAAAGAGATTTGTTGAAGTAATGTTTTTTAATACTCTGCTTTTAATAAATTTAAAAATATATAAAAATATATGATCATATATATGAATTGTTGAATTTGCAGACTTGGAAACTAGGATCATTAATAAATGTTTTAGATGTTACCGATGTTCATGGAGAGTTCTATACTGATGGTAATTATTTGTGCAATAATAACTGTGTTTTGCAACAAAATTATCTAACATATCATTATTTAAGACGAATTTGGTGGTCTCTATTGGTCAAATGATGGGCAAAAAGCTGTTTATGTTGCAGAGCAAAAGGAATTAGAAGATTCTGATGATCGAGTGAGTTTAAGAATCACTTTT